AAAAACATAGTATATGGAGAGACAAAAATAGTTTGTCTAGGGGAGATTACACCGGGCGAACTAAAGATAGTACTTCCTTAGGTGTTCGGCGTTCCATGGATGGGGCAACTATTTGCCATTTAGGTGTTCGAGCTGATATGTTCCAGGTCAGGCGATATTATGAACTCGGTACAGGCCCTCCTAATTAGTTCCTAGAGTACCGGCGGCTCTGTCTTTGGCTCCAAGGAACACCCGGCGAAGAACCAAGTCGCCAGGCTGAAAGCTATGCTGGCGAACATGCTAGTCGTAATACTGAGCAGCCCATTGTTGATACATGGCGAGATGGAAAGCTGCTTGAAGACAGTGTTCCTCAAGCAAATCCATGCTGAGGCAAAGCTGTTCCGTATTTTTCTCTGATGTGTAGTGGGCGACCCGGTGTGTGGGACTGCCGACCTCAATAGGAATCACTGTTTCGGTATCGAAGGCTAGGGAATACGGAGTCTCTCCTGTAGAAGTGCGTTCGGTGCAATGGTAAGCCCAGAGAACCTCTGGTAGGAGTTTCGACTAGGCTCCCTTCTTAGCCCCCAAATTTTTCTTGAGCGTTCGTTTGAGGAGTTTGTTCACGGCTTCAACCTGGCTGTTTGCTTGTGGGTGCGCTGGGGAGGAGAAACAAAGATTGATTTTGAGATCAGAGCAGAAAGCGTGGAATTTTTTGCAGTCGAACTGCTTGCCATTATTCGTGATGAGAGTGTGAGGGATACCGAAATGGCATACGATATTTTTCCAGATGAAGCTCTGCACCTTTGCGGCCGTAATGGTCGCCAATTGTTCTGCCTCTGCCTATTTAGTGAAGTAATCAACAGCGACGACTGCATGAGTAGTTTGCCATTTCCCTTTAGGCATAGGCCCGATCAAATCCAATCCCCATTCTGCGAATGGCCAAGGGCTGGTCATGGTGGTGAGGCGCTCAAGTGGTTGATGAGGTATGTTTGCGAATATTTGGCAAGGGCAGCAAGATGTGGTAAGGCGCTTGGCGTCGGCGTTTATGGTCGTCCAAAAATACCCTCGGCGAATCACCTTATGTGCCATGGACTGGGCCGCAGTATGGTCACCACAAATGCCTTCGTGGATTTCCTGGAGAGCCTCAATGCCCTTTTCGGGAGTAACGCAAAGTAGGAGGGGCAATGAGTGAACCCGTTTGTATAACTTATGGTTGATAATAGTATAACGCGTAACTCGGGTTTGGATCCTTCGAGCCTGGACCTTGTCCAGGGGGAGAGCGCCGGTGGTGAGGAAGGCCCAAATCAGGGTCATCCAGGTGGGTGCCTCGTCGATGACCATGCTGGTGTAAGCTGGTAAGTTAATGCTCCTTTGAGCGAGATATTCGATGGGGATGTCTTTGGTGAGCGTGGTATCGATAGCCGAGGCGAGACGAGCCAGTAAGTCGGCCCCCAATTCCTTTGCTAGGCGCGGAAGTGAGAGAGGAGTTCCTTGACCTTCTGAACATAAGCGGTGAGATGCGGCTCTCGAGCTTGATAGTCATTGGTGACTTGATGAACCACGAGTTGGGAGTCACTATGAACGTGAATAGAGGCAGCCCCCAATTCCTTTGCTAGGCGCAGGTTGGCAATGAGTGCCTCATACTCGGCCTCGTTATTTGACGCTTGGAAGCGAAATCGAAAAGCGTATTCCACCGGGATGCCAGTAGGGGATATGAGAACCAGGCCAGCTCCACAACCCTATAAATTGGAAGCACCGTCGACAAACAAGGTCCATTATGGCCCTGTCGGGTCTGTGGTCTGGTCGCTGTCCGTAGGGGTGGCATTTTAGACCGAAAAATAGCAAAAACCAACCGACTATTTATCGCAAAGAAACCGCAATCGCGGTAAACTGAACCGCATTTGCGGTATGAAGAATCGAACCGCATTTGCGATTGTGGTTACGGTATTTGATTTTCAAAACTTGCGGTTACCACAAACCGCAAAGTATAGCCAATTTATGTTGTTTTATTTGATCTTCTTATAATAAAATGTACTAAACTATGTTGTTTTATTTGTAGATAGCTTTGGTGCTCAAACAACACAACGGTGTTCTTCAAATCCACTCACCACCAACACTTGAGTTTGTAACTTTAGTTTGTAACATTGGTGCATTGCATTTTTCTTTTAGTTTGTAACTTTAATTAACTTTGGATTGGATTTTTCTTTTTAGTTGTAACTTTAATTCATTTTGCTTTGCATTTTCCTTTTGGTTTATAACTTTAAAGGATTTGGAATTGGAATGCTTGAGAAGTTTAACTTTAATTGGAATGCTTGTTGTACTTATGAACTTTTCTTTTCCTTGTTTATTCTCGTCCGTGTCTATAAGTCTTTAATCACTGCACCTTTAGTTATCATTGTTTTTTGCTGTATGAAGTTGTGTATTTATTTATTTAGGTTGTGAATTTATATTTTTGTGAATGCTTGAGAACTTGCGGTTTTAAACCGCTAATTCGTGGTAAACAACCGCTTTTTGCGGTTTACCGCAATACGGTAAACCCCAAAAAGCAGTCGGTTTGCGGTTTCAAAAATCACCATACCGCAAATAGTCAGTCGGTTTACGGTTTGGGCAAAAATTCGCGGTTACCGAACCGCAACCACCCATAGCTGTCTGCACCAGGTTATGCCGAGGTCGGAGCTAGCTCTAATGGCCCTGGCATGTTGGTGTTATGGGCTGGTGTGGTGAATTCTGAAATGAAGTCGGTGATGGCATGCGCCTTCATGGCTGTGCGCGGCTGGTAAGTAATATCAAATTCTCCTAGTTCTACCGACCACTTGATAAGGCGTCCTAAGGTCTTAGGTTTTCTTAGGACCAAGTTGAGTGGCTGATCAGTAAGGACGAGGATGGAATGGTATAGGGGCGTAGCCTCCGAGCCATGGTGATCAAGGCGAGGGCTAACTTCTCGATCGGCAGATATCGTGTTTTTGTATCAATCAATGCCTTGCTCACATAGTAGACTGGGTGCTGGGTTTTGTTTAGGTCTCGAGTGAGCACCGAGTTGACAGCCGAGGAGGAGACAGAGAGATACAAAGACAAGACATCCCCAACTCTAGGTTTGGATAGTGTAGGGGCTTGGCCCATGTGTATCTTTAAATTTTCGAACGCCAAAGCACAATCGGGTGTCCAATCGACGACATTCTTATTGCCTTTAAGTGATTTGAAGAAGGGGAGGCATCGGTCAGTAGCCTTGGAGATGAACCTGTTTAATGCTACTACTCGTCCAGTTAGGCTTTGGACCTCCTTCCGAGTCTTGGGCTGAGACATTCAGATGAGGGCCTGGACCTTCTCTGGGTTTGCTTCGATATCTCCATGGCTGACTAAAAACCTTAGAAATTTCCCTGAGCCGACCTCAAACACACATTTGGCAGGATTCAACTTCATGTCATAGCTCTGTAAGATTGCGAAAGTGATTGCGAGGTCAGCGATGTACTGGTCAGTGTGGACACTTTTAACCAACATATTGTCCACGTAGACTTCCATGCTCTTGCCAATCTAGTCGGCAAACATGTGATTAACCAATCGTTGATAAGTAGCCCCCCCGTTCTTGAGGCTAAATGGCATGACCTGATAGCAGTATGTGCTGCGATGGGTGATAAACGAAGTGATTTCCTGGTCGGCTGGGTGCATGCGGGTCTGGTTATATCCCTAGTAGGCATCCACAAAGCTTAGGAGCTCGTGCCCCGCGGTGGCATCAACTAGTTGATCAATTCTTAGTCAGGAGAAGCTATCTTTGGGACACGCCTTGTTGAGATTGGTGAAATCAACACACATCTGCCACTTGTCCTTTGTTTTCCAGACCATGACCACATTGGACAACCAACTAGGGTAATCCACCGGTCGAATGAAGTTGTTTTTTTTGTAAATTGTCTACTTCTGTTTTCATGGTGGCGTACCGGACAACGTCGTATGCCCGACGCTTCTGGCGGACGGGCCGGGACTGCGGATCGATGCTAAGGCGGTGGGTGATTATGTCGAGGCTAATTCCGTGCATATCCTTATGAGACCAGGTGAAGATGTCAGTGTTCTCCGTCAAGAATCTAACTAGTTGCTGCCGAACAATTGGCGTGAGCTGGGAACCGATCCGAAGGAGCCAATCCAAGTGGTTGAGAAAATATAATTTGCTCCGTGGGAGGCTTTTGGTTTTCGTGTTTGAACCCTTTGAACGTAGTCCTGAGCTTAGTATTTATAGGAGTCCTAGAGGGACAGTCGAGGCTGACAAGACCTACGTGGTGGAGCCTGACCGGGGCAAGTGGGTAGTCAAATCGGCATTTAGGATCGTGAAGTATGGTGGTATGGGGTTGAGAAGCATGGTGGTGTGACCCCCATAAATCTCGGCAAATCTCGGCCACCGCCTTGATCGTGGGTTCTGCCCCCTTGGCCGTGGGAACACATTTAATGCCCTGGACTGGTGGTTGATGATCTGACCCTAAGTCGTAAGATTACTTGTGAGAATGTCTGCGCCTAACCACCCTGATTCCCATCTCTAAATCCTGACTTCAGTCACTTCCCTCGTGCATTGAATGCTTCTTGTGACTAGTGGGTTTTGCTGTGAAGTCAGAGGCATTACTTCATTAAATGGAGCGTGGGGCCCTGAGGTCACGTGGCACGATTCAACCACAGCTTTTTCAGATTGTGTCTTTTGCGGCCTTCAGCCTCGGTCTTCAAAACTGCGGTCGCGAGGCCGAGGGGATTCTCCCTTTGCAGTTTTTCTTTTGCTCTTAGGAGGGCGAAATGCTTGACGAAACGCTAGGTGCCAGGGCCGAAGGGAAGTCCCTTCAATCAGTTCATGATCGTGTTTTATTAGGCACAAACAAGTTGCCAGTTATCGTAGGTCCCCCCGATATGGTGGATATGTACACTCGGGATACTCCCGGTTTGTCGTCGATCTTGGTTCGTGCATGTGTGTCTATGGGTGCTGCGTTTCCCGTAACATATTCTGTTAATTTTTCCCGCCTTATCAGCACTTCTATCTCTTCCTTCAACTAGTAGCAGTCATCTATGTGGTGACCGTAGTCGCGGTGGTACTTGCAATACTTGCCTTCGTCCCTCCTTCCTCGGTAAGGAAATCTTGCCCTTTTCGGGTTAAGGAGCTCACCGGCTATTACTGCAAATATTTCACCCTTTGATTTATTCAAGGGGGTATAGTTTGTGTACTGATTATGCTTCTCAGGTCTGTTATCGCCCTTCCGAGCCGAGGACCCCAGCTCTCCCTTCCTTCTTTTTGTTGACCGATCATAGGCATAGTCGTTGGGCCTCTTATCCCTGGGCTGGTATGCCGCGTTGGTATCTGGGATCGACCCTGCTGTGGCCTTTCTAGCCAGGTTCAATTGCTCGGCTTGGGAATAGCTCGTAGCCTCGCGGAAGAGGTCTTTATATGTCTCCGGCGGGTTCCTAGTAAGGGAAAAATAGAAATCTCCTCCTTGGAGCCCTCCCATCAGTGCGTTGTGTGCCGTGGCCTCATCGCACCCTTCGCAGCTTGCGTATTCATTATTGAATCGAGTGATGTAGTCTCTAAGCTTTTTGTCGAGTTGTTGTCTGACCATTAATAAGTCATTTGCGGTGTAGAGCCGATCTGAAATGATCATATATCTTTCCAAGAAGACTTTCCTGAGCTCGACGAAAGAGCTAATGGACTCTGGGGCGAACCTCTTGAACCAACTCGTGGCTGGGCCCTTGAGAGTTTTCGGGAACAGGCGACACTTGGTTGCTTTGTTTGCCCCACGTCCCTCCATGGCGTAGCGGAAATTATCCAGATGATCGTATAAGTTGGTCATCCCATCGTACAAAGGAATTTTCGGAGCTTTCGAATCCCCTACCACCCTTGCCTTGAGCAGGTCCTGGGTGTATGTTAAGGGAATTTCCTCCTCGATGAACTCGGGTCCCCTGGGCATTTTGGATTTCTCGACCTGCCCGACTCGATCCCACACACTTCTTAGCTTGCCCGTGACCAAGTTCCTGAGTTTGGAGGTGAGGCTGTCAACTTCTTCCTTGGCCTCATCTGAGCCGACCTTATTTTTCCCTTTGCGAAGGTTCTCCACTAGGCATTCACAGCGTCCCCGCCAGGCTTTTTTTCCTTTAGGATGTTTCTAGCGTCGGCCACGTTCCGCCCTGGTGTTTTAGCCGCTATTGACGAGGATGAGTCTCTGTCGGTGTCCCTGGTGCCGGTTGGTTAGGGAACCTACTACGCGCGTACCTGATCTACTAGCTCAATGTGAATCTCCTGCAGTATCTCATTTTGTGCACGGAGGCTGTTGCTAAGGTTATGTATGTCTTTTACACCTTTAAAGAATTCGGCTCATCTTTTCCTCTAGGCCTCTTAGACGACCGATCTTAGCTTATCTCTTCATCTCTGGGCATTTCTCCCAGCCGTGCTCGTGGAGGCCTTCTTTCCGAGATGTTGGTTTCTTAACATAGTTTGGTTTCGTTTATGTCAGTGCTCAGATGGGTGAGGGGATGTAGCTTCTGTTCACAAATAAAGTCTAATTCCCACAGACGATGCCAAATGTAAACCGTGTATCCTTCTCGTATAAGTAACTGGGGCTCTATCCAGGAGCTTGGACTCGTACTGGGCTTTCGAGTATGAACAGACTCTGAAGGATGATCTGCGCACTTGAAACGATATCAGAATTAAGGGTAAACTGGGGTTGATTCCAGCCTAACCTCTCCGATGGTTAAGTCAGAAACTAACTTGTGTTTGAGAGAAAATGAATACAAGGCTTTTACTACATGAAGAGGTATTACCTTTGTCTTGGTGTAGGTGAAGGGTATTTATAGGGAGAGGGGAATCAAGATATTTGTAGGGAAGATATTTATCTCATGTTCCCCTCACCTCAGTTGCATTGAATGTTCTGCTTCTAATCACCACAAAGCTGGTCAGAGGTCAGGTGGTGAAGTGACAAGCTATCAAGGATGCGAGATGCAATAAATGATCTTTTTCCATCACTTATATGTTCACTATGAGATTTAATGGATATGGCGACATCTATTTGAGGATGGAATGCGCATTTAACCAGCCTTCGTACTCAACCAGGCTTTTAATGCATCTTTGTAATCTATGGTGATACAGTGGTCGAGGCGGTATGTGAACACTCGACCACTAGTCTCATTCTAATCTATCACATTCTTCTCGAGGGATTCTTTGTCGGTTACTCGGTACACAAGCTGTCTTTTGAGGGGCTCGGCTCACAGTGATAGTATGAGCTATCAATAGACATAGTTATTATGACTTATTCATTTTTCATAAACCTTACCAGATATGCTTAAAAACCTAACAAAAAGAGCAATAAAATTATAAAAGTGTCTTTGCATTTTTCGCTTCGCTGCCCTGCGCTGAGATTCCGGTTCTTCTTCTTACAAAAGTGTTGTCATATATATATATATATATATAGCAAAAAAGCAGAGAATGGAGAAACATTCAAAATACCAGAAAATGTCATTAGTTAATGCAAACATTAAGAATTGAAATTATTAAATAAATGAGGATAATATAGTAAATTCACATTTTTTCATATTTAAAAAATTAAAATTAAAAACAAAATTAGATAATAGGTCCTACTTTTAAGGAACATAACTACCCATGTTATCTTTTCTTAATTCTAAAAAAAAAAAAAAAAAATAAATGGCCACATGGGTGACAATGTCCAAGGGGGAAAAATTATAAATTCTCTAAAGTGGTATTTATCTTTAACTTTAAATTTTTTTTAACAACAGAGATACGTGTTACATTGTGAAAGTAATGAGGGTGAAAGCATATTCTTTCTGTGATTACTCGTCAAGTTGTTCATAATTAGCCTCGAAAGTGCAAAGATTGTACCTAATTTCCCCAAAACCGCCAGAACCCCGAAATTGAAACTTAATTTGTACCCCAAAAAAGTGAAACTTCACGACTTCTCCATTAAAGCCAAGCCCATCTCCATTTTTGTTTTCAAGTTGAACCCATTTGTCATTTACTAACGGTGAAGTAAAAGCTCTTCCAATTGCACCAGTTTAGGGCTCACACAAAACAGAAACGCCATTTGCGTGTTGGAGAAGAAAAAGTTTCTTGGGTAAGTTTTTATACAAAGAATTACTTGATGTGTTTTTTACATTCTTAGTTTGTTCAGGGTTTTACTTGTGTTTTTGGTTCGCATGTTAAACCCATTGACAGGAGTCGAGAGAATTTCTTATAAATCAGAGACAGAGAGCCCGTAGAAGCTAATAGGGTTTGCTTCGCTGTTAAGGCTTGTGGTCACCCAAACAGCAAGGTAACATATATATCCTTAATATTTTGATGAAGTTAAAATCTAAGCTCAAGGGAATTTATGTGTTTTTGTTTTTGTTTTTACTTTTTGATGAAGTTAATATATCCTTAAGTTTCATGCTCACCCAGTTTTCAAAATAGGTTTGTTTAGCCTTTTGTGTATTCTTAGTTGAGTCTCATATTGATTGTTATGCACAAGGGAGAGTAAGAACCAAAACTTTAACTAGAATTAAGGATTTTTCTTTTGCACATTTTAACAATAAAAATCGAATTTTACAGGATTTAATTGTTTTGGTCTTAAATTGAACCACAAGTTGTACACTTTATTATTTTTGTTATAACTGATAGTAAACACTATTTAAATGGAAAGTCACTGATTATGTGGCTATGGAATATAAGATTCTGTTCCCATTACAAAGAAAAAGATGATTTGTATGACTTCTGCCTTAAGTTTAAAACCAAAACAATTAAAACCTGTAAAATTCAAATTTGATTGTTAAAATAAAATCTAAGTGCAATAGAAAAAGCCTTGAGCACGCAGAAAGGGCATGCCAAGAGGCTAGTATGCAAGAATGGTATAAATGAATTTAGTTGGCTCTTAATTTGATATCTTCAATAGTTACGCTCAGTAAGGTCTGTTTTAACATAGAGGATTGACAAATGGAGTTGTGTGTGTTTGGTTAAGGTATGGTGGGAAAAAAGGTCAATTATTGTTTTGAATAGTTCGTTGATAAATTTCTGTTTGACTTTGAGATTTGGGTAAATTGATTAGTACCAGTTATTAAATTTCAGTCATTGGATTGAAAAACCTGTCTTTGTTTCAGATACATTTTATCCGTGGGAGCGTAATTCTCAATTGTGAGATTTATGCATGATTAGGAAGATGTCAACTGCACAGCCTTTAAAGAAATTAGTGTCCTGTGTTATCCTTGATTTGGATGGTACACTACTTAACACAGGTTCGCACTCTGAGTAGCATTTTCAATTTTACATTTAACTTGATGTTATTTGTTCTGTGATAATGGGCTGATGCTTCCTTTGGTCTTCCTGTGTTGGAACTTGGATGTGAATTTTATTCTTAGTAGTTGCTGTTTGCTTTCTACTGGTGTTAGTAACTCCTTTTCTTCATTATTTTAATTAATCACAGATGGAATTGTAAGTGATGTTTTAAGAGTTTATTTGGGCAAGTATGGAAAGCAGTGGGATGGACGGGAAATTAAAAAAATAGTTGGAAAGACACCACTTGAAGCTGCAAGTGCTGTTGTTGAAGATTATGAGCTATCTTGTACAACGAGTGAATTGCTTTCAGAGATTACCCCCATGTTCTCCAATCAGTAATTAACTTATGTACTTGCTTTTATGTCTGTTGAAAAGTCCTTTTGACGCCTCTGCCAAATGTTTGTTTTCGCTGTTTTTTACTATTGGCTTTTAGGTGAGGAATATATAATAGGTGTTATGGTCAATATAATGTTACATGTGTTTCTTTTGTACTTTTTCTATAGGTAGTAATTTTGGATGTTGGATAATTTTCTTTTTGGACTAAACGGAGCTTGTTTTTGATCATATGTTTTTAAGGATGCTTCCATATGATAATAATGAGGACAACTCACTCACTCACTGTTATGTGTTCAGGCAGTACTTTAGTGGAAAACTGTTAATTGGCTATTGACAATTGTCATTCTAGGTGGTGCAACATCAAAGCACTTCCAGGTGCGAATCGGTTAATTAAACATTTGAGTGGTCATAGAGTGCCAATGGCATTGGCTTCAAACTCTCCAAGGGAAAACATAGAAACCAAAATTTCTTACCATCAGGGTATACTTCTTCAGAAGCATATTTGCTTACATCTTACATGGAAAATTTTAAGTACCACATGCATTCAGGATATTATGATTCGTTCTTATCATACAAACAAGCACTATTTGCTTATTGTATTTCATATGCAGGCTGGAAGGAATCCTTTTCTGTCATCATTGCTGGTGATGAAGTAAGATTGGGGAAGCCTTCTCCGGAAATGTGAGATGCATAAATGTGTCTTTTTGGGCTTGAATTTGAGTGTGTTTTTTTATTTATTTAAATTTTTTATATCAAGGATTAGATTATATGGTATTCTGAAACTAGAAATCTTTGATTTTGCATTGGAGATTCCTTGAAGTTGCTAAAAGGCTTAATGTCGACCCTTCCAGCTGCCTTGTGATTGAAGATTCTCTGTAAGTATCCCTACTCTGATTCTTTACAGGTTTGAATTTGTTTTTCTATTAAAGTATGCAGAGCAAAAACTGTTGCAGGGAATATTCTCCTTTTAGTGCTATGGTTTTCATTTATGTTCTCTTCAACTACCCTTGTTTACAGTACATCTAAAACGTCTTCAATAGAAGAATGAACCTAATTGGACACCTTCATTTTTGCTACAGATACTTTCCTCGAACCAGACTAACTTTGATAAGGCTGGGACATGCTGTATTGGAATATAAGTCATATTACATTTTTGGCCAATAATAAAAAAATGTCAATTATGACTCTTTCATACTGAACAAGTTTGGTATTAATTTTAAAAACTAAAGCTAATAAATCAATTAAACCCACTTTATACCCACTATTTACTCTCCCAAGTTCTAAATTTTCTTTCCTTAATGTACCTTCTATCACAATACACACATGCATTGCATGTGATGCATGTGTGCATTGCATGTGATGCATGTGCCTTGCATCACATCATTAGGCAAATGAATAATTGATGTGCTCTTCTTCACGAACATTCTTCCTTTGATAAGTAGATGCTATGTTTCTGCCTAATGGTGTGATGCAGGGCATTAGCAGCAAGCTGCTGTCCAGCGACCCAAACATTCCCAAAATACAGAGAATAGAAGGATAAAGCAATAGAATAGAAGTTGGAAGGAAGATAATTGAGTTCTAGGGCAAAGAACAAATAAAACAATTACTTATTAATTTAAAGTAGCCAAAATTTAGCCTTATTGGCTAACGAACAGATGTTCCTGCATCATGATGTGTATATGGTTTAAGAAGTCATGTCACTTTTCTTTGCATTTCTTTATTGGAACATTTATGCATTGGTTTTGTCAGACCAGGTGTTACAGCTGGAAAGGCTGCTGGTATGGAGGTGGTTGCTGTACCCTCCATCCCAAAGCAGGCCCACCTTTATACTTCAGCGGATGAGGTGATCAACTCTCTACTTGATTTGCGACCTGAAAAGTGGGGCCTACCTCCTTTCCAAGATTGTAAACCTCAATACCTGTGTCTGTGTTTCAACTATGTTTGAAGAGTTTCTTCTGCACAAGCCCTTTTCATTAGCACCATTGATCTGTTGTTGCAGGGATAAAAGATACTTTACCACTAGAACCTTGGCGCATTGGTGGTCCTGTCGTTAAGGGATTCGGTCGGGGCTCAAAAGTACTTGGGATCCCTACAGGTGTGTTGCTGTTGGCCTATCCAGTTAGAATCTTCATTCAACTGTACATGTCTTCTGATGAAACAATGGTTGACTGCTGTTCTTAGTTTGAGATGATATATACAAGTTAGTTTTATTTCATAGTAGGCAATTTTTTAATGCACCTGATATTGGTTATATACAAGTTGCATTCCTTAGATCCTACGTTGCTTGAATGAGCTTGAAATTATTGGTTTGTTGCTTGTGATTTGTTGTTTCTCTCCCTGTTATGCTCAATTAAATTGTTTCATTTCCTCATTTCTTTATCCTTATAGGTGCACTACATCTTTTCTACAGCTAATTTATCCACAGAAGGATATGGATCTCTTCTTTCAGAACATCCCTCAGGAGTATATTTTGGTTGGGCTGGATTATCTAAACGAGGTGTCTTTAAAATGGTTATGAGTATTGGTTGGAATCCTTATTTCAACAACACTGAAAAGACTATAGTGAGTCTTTCAAGCCACATAAGGTAGCATTTGCAAGTATTTTTCTTCTTTTTGTTGAATTTAGTTTGTAATGCAGGAGCCATGGTTGCTTCATAACTTTGATGAGGATTTCTATGGGGAGGAACTGCGTCTTATTATAGTTGGCTACATACGGCCGGAGGTATTAGTCAAAACTGATCAATCTTTTCTGGAAAATGCGAACTGCTCCTCTCTGTCCTTCTATCTATTTGTTCCTAATGTTCGTTTATGAAATAAACAGGCCAATTTCTCATCCCTCCAGAGCTTGATAGAGAAGATTCATCACGACAGAAAAGTTGCAGAGGAAGCTCTTGATCTTCCATTGTTCTCCAAATACAAGGACGACCCATATCTTAAAAGTTCTACATAAGGGTGTCCCAGGAATTTCTTGAAGGCTAGTTTTCCTACGTCATATGCAAAACAATAATTCAAATTGTACACTCATTATTTTGACATTCATTCATTTTGAAGAGATTCTACGTCACTCTCCGGAATGTAACATATATAAAGTGCCTTAAATCACAAATCAAATTTATTGTTTTCTAAATTACGGGTCATATCATAATGAAGTTGTGGTTATACAGAGACATCAGTTACAGTTTATAAATCAGATTTTGCTTAGGTCAGAAAATCTCCAGGCCTTGGCACTAGTATACCTGTGCCAGGTCTTTTCAGATTATATGTTTTAGATTGCATGTTATTGGGGAAAGCTGCTCCTCTCATAACTATGTTGCTTCTGTCTCCAGGTCCCCAACCCGGGAGGTGCCTACACCATAAGTAAACCACTCAACAACCTCAATCTCAGACAGAATAACCAATGCAAGAATATCTGCAACAAAGTTGGGTTTGTTTTCCTCAAAACATGATGAAACCCGACTTCTTCAAAGAGATTAGCAAAAATGAATGTCTCAAAGGATCGACCGGATGTGAAGTATCATTCAGCAGACAACCAATATCAATAACGAGAGTACCCCCCAACCAAGATTTTGGTCAATAAACTATTTCCTTCCACATTCATAATACAGCAGAATATAGAGTTTTCATTAAAAAATAACTAAGGAGTTCCATGCATATTAGATAGATAGATTCGTCATGACTTTTATGCAGAAAAAACAGATTTTCAGCAACGTACTTGTATCAGAATACCGAGACTAATACAGAATTCTAGACTTAAATACAATATTGTAGGCATTCGATACAATATCCTAGGCTTAGAGTCATTACCTTATGCAAGTTTCATGTATTATATTTGTAACAGCAAACATTGAAGATAGCCCGCACCATATGATTTAGTTTGTAAAGTTTGGAAGTAATTAAATGTGATTCTTTATTTATGTGGAAGGCTTTTCTATAAAAAGCCTGCTTTCTGCACAGAGTTTTAGCCACGATTTCTTTTAATGACCGCATTTTTTATACATAAAAAATACCATCAGCTGGTGGGTTTTCTTTTGGCAAATAATCCGTAGCAAAAAAGCACAATTCTCTCCGTTGGCTCCTTGCAATCGCTTAAAAAAGATGGAATAAAAAAGTTGGTGCCGCTAAAATTTTATATTTGGATGCCTTTACCTTTTTACCTTCTTATTTTTTGAAACAAACAAATACACAAGTGCCTTTGCCTTTTTCCCTTCGCTGCCCCGCGCTGAGCTTCTGGTTCTTCTTCTGCTTCTTTCATTTTCTTTTCTGGGTCTCTCACAGAGAAAGAGGAAGAGAAAGACCGAGTGAAAAAGGGCTCAAAGGGATTAAGGTTTTTCAAGAATTCAGTGCCAGAATGGTGAAAACCATATTCTTTCTGTGGTTAAAGCCAATCTCATCTCCATTTTTGTTTTCAAGTTGAACCCACTTTTCATTTACTACCCGAGAAGTAAAAGCTCTTCCAATTGCGTCAGTTTAGGGCTCACACAAAACAGAAAGCCGTTTGCGTGTTGGAGAAGAAAAAGTTTCTTGGGTAAGTTTTTATAAACAAAATTACTTCATGTGTTCTTTACGTTCTTAGTTTGTTCAGGGTTTTACTAAACCTTATGTGTTTTTGGTTCGCATGTTAAATCCATTGACAGGAGCCGAGAGAATTTCTTTTAAATCAGAGACTGAGAGCTCGTAAAAGCTAATAGGATTTGCTTCGCTGTTAAGGCTTGTGGTCACCCGAACAGCAAGGTAACATAAATATCCTTAATATTTTTATGAAGTTAAAATCTGATATTATGGTGTACTTACTGTTTGATTAGTTTGAGCTCAAGGGAATTTGTATTTTTTGTACTTAAATTTAGTTCTGTTGGATTCTAAGAGATTGAAAGTAAGGAGAAAGCTTATTGACACTTAAAAGCTTAGATGAGGGCTAGATAGAAGCTTCGTAATATTGGATAAGGTGTTTGGTAATTGGGTTGTACAGATGAGTTGAGTTGAGTCGGTTCGTGTTATAAAAGTGTTCGTGTTATAAAAGCATGAGATAAACTATGTTGGGTTGTTGGGACTGTGGAGGCCTGTTGTTTGTTGATAGCAACATGTCTAATGGTTGTGCTGGTGAGAATTCATTTTGATTTGAGGATAATCTTATTAAGAACAGGAACAACTTGATGCTATGTAGTAATTTTGAGGATCTGAAGGTGTTAAGAGACTTGAGTGTGTCTGTTCATCAAATGAATTTTTATCAAGCAAACTGGCCTTTTTACATGTTGAACCAGGCTTAATAAGAGTAACATCCAAACTAAACTTCGTACAAAATGGATTTAAGATGAAATTATGTTAAGTTTCATGCTCACCCAGTTTTCAAAATAGGTTTGTTTAGCTTTTTGTGTTTTCTTGGTTGAGTCTCATATTGATTGTTATGCACAAGGGAGAGTAAGAACCAAAACTTTAACTAGAATTACGACTTTTGGGGGGCAGCTTTGGGTCGTCAGATATCACAATAATAATTAATAAACAACCAAAGGAGAAAAAGATAAAGTGGCATATATGCTTCTTCCGCAAAGTCCAAGTCTTCATGAAAATGGTCTTTCATACAATTGTATAGAAGCTGAGCAAAAAGTTGAAACCTCAGCCTGTTGATGGACTATGGAGTTCCATGAATTTTCAACTTTCCATCTTCCCATCATTAAGTTAATGATGTGACACTCTTAGCATGTATATTTCAAATAAAAACTAGCTGTTATCCCTTGAGTCTTGCTTGACTTACTAGAGCGACCTCCACAAAGTCGCTGCCCCCATCATAAAAGAGAAATTGTACCAGTCGCTCGCAGTGGCAAACCTAGCTTGCATTTTTGTTTTTTTTGTTTTTAATAGTTGCAACCCCTTGCAATTCGAAACTCCCTCGTATCCTAGGGTTTTGTAATTATCTCATGCTACACCTCTGCCTTTTTCTCTCTCCCTCATACTCCTTCTCACACCCCTTTCTAGCTCTCTTAATTTTAAATTAATTTCTGCAATATTAGATCTTGCTATTGTCTCAAACCATAAAACAAAAGAAGGGAGGTAGAAAGATAAATGGTTGCAAATTTGGGTTAGCTCTATCTCTGGCTCGCCACTTGCCAATCAATAATCATGCCTCATGGAGTCAATTACTTTCCACTCTTGTTTGTGTATTTCTCTAATCACGTTCTTAAGCTTTCCAATGTTATCTGGATACGAGTTTAATATACTTGATGTCTGTAGAATTTAATAGGTTTTATATGAAGATATATGTGAATTTTGTGTGTCCTACTGTTTGAATTATTGCTTCTGAGTATGAGTTTGATTGGAATGAGCAATTAAATTTTAGTGATTTACTACTTGTTACTTCAGAATTGATGGTTTATCTTATCATCCCTTTAAGTTTTCTCCCAGAAAGATAAAATCCTGGGAAATCTGCCAAAGGCTCAAAGGCATTGACATATATATCTCATAATGGATCCATCCATTGTGAAGAAGCTACTTGAAGACGACGAGGTTCTCTCTGTCTCTGTCTCTGTCTCTGTCTCTCTCTGACGTATCTCAAGCTAATATTACATTCTCATTCTTAATAAAATGTCCAAAGGATGAAACCATGCATTCTGGGGCGGATTTGTTAGCCTTCCAGGCTGCCCTGAATAAGGACATAGAAGGAGATGTGTCTGCTTCCCAGCCGTCTGATTCAGACACAGGTATCCTTCTTAACCTTCTTTTTTTGATTCACATAACTAAGTTGACATTAATCATAGACCCATTGCAGATTACTCTGTGGAACTTGGTTAGAACTATTAATTTTGAGAATTACATAACTTTGGTGTTTTTTATTTGTTTAATTTGGGAAAGCACAAGTCCTCTGGATGCAATAACTTAATGTGATTTTGATGTATATTTTTTAGAACATATAGGTGAGGCGTTGCTTTGGTTGGTTGGTGTTTATATGTATGTAGTTTATCATAATCATGCTGAGCATATTTTCACTAAAAATTTGGTTAATATTCACTTCCACAATTTCTTTTGAAAAGATTCCAAAATTTGGAGACCAGTTAATTCTGTATGCAAGTAGTCACAACTTGCCATCTTTTCTTTGCTGATTATTTTTCTATTTTTTTATTATTATTTTTTTTCTTCCTCTCTTAGTGATTTTTAATTGAAATGGATCATTTTCATCTTTCATAACTTTGTCTAGTTGGGTTGATCACTTGAGTACTTATCTTCGATTCTTTTCTATTATGATAAATATCTCCAATTCCCCCTGAATTTTAGTTCGTGTCCCATATTAGTCCCCAACTTATCTTAACATCCTAAATTATCAATCACGTGTTTAGTTTGTGCAACTCATAGATTCTGCCAATATTTTAACAGAAGTGGCCATTTGAGTATCATAAACCACTTAGTCAAGGACAAATTTGTCAGTCTAACTAAATTTGTACTCAAGACTACTCGTAGCTCTTCTTCAACTTATCTGCCTTCTCTTCCACCATTACTGATCCTACAATATCACAAGTGATCATCATCATCTATTTTTCCTCAATTTTGCATTATTGATTCTAAAATACCAGAAGTGTTTTGAAATGAATGTATCTTTGATTCATTGTTTGTCAAAGGATCTATTTTTCATTTCAGCTATAAAGAGTGACATTCCAACAATGTATGAAAGCTGGTAAAGTGTGAAGCCCATAAACATGTATTTTTTACTTCATTTTGCATTATCTGCTATCAGAAGAGGTTTGAAATGAATGTATCTTTTATTTATTCATTGTCAGAGGCTATATTCAATTACCTTCAAAAAGTAACTTCCCACCAATGTATGAAAGTTTGTTAAGTGTCAAGCCCTTAATCCCTAGTTGTCTTTGGGTTCGTAACTAGAAATCCTCGATCATACATGATGTGTGCAACTATGTGATGCAGCGGTTTTGTCTCAAGGAAGCAATAATACTTCTAGTCAGTCATTACTGCAGTTGAGTACTGCTAGCCAGGATGAAAATACAGCTGGTCAAATTCAACAAGACCAAAAAATTGCACAACATCGAGAACTGCATTTGTATGAAATGGAACCAAAGCAACAAGGATCCATTGCTGAGAATATGCAACAAGAAAATGATGCCTCAAAGGTACTTAATCACTTTCCTTTACCCCAGAAGCAACCACTTGGTGATCTTCAAGGACAGGCAGAACAGAAGCCACTCCAGATTCCTGA